GTCCTCATCGATCAATTCACATTTTTATCTCTGCTGTTCTCTCTGCCAGTTCTGCCATTTTAAAATCCTACGTTTGCTGATTACGGTGAATATTTCTTTCTAGTGTCTATAATGGTTTCCATTTATCCCCTTCTCCAGGACCTGCCTAGCCTTAGAAATTTCCCTGCTTCCTCCAATTTCAGAGTCTGTGAAATTTCCAAAAATACCTTCCAACAGATTCCTTACTTCCTATCTTATGGTGTCATGAGGCTAAAAGAACAGGAAATATGCCTCCCAACTGTAAATCACCATCATGTATTTTAAGAACCATCATTTTGTAAGAGCAGGGCACAAAGAGATGAGGACAGCCTTCATCCTGATTATTTAACAACATTTAAAAATAGCAAATCCCATAATAATTTCAATAGGAATCCCCTTGGTAAAATTGTCCAGATACCTGGAGAATTTTAGTGGAAGAACATAAAGAATATTAGTGGACTTGAGAATTTTAAAAATGTCCAGCAATCTAAGCTTTCTAGAGTGATATTTTCTAATGCACTATTGTGTGTTATGGTTTGATCATGTATCCCCCTGTCTTAGGCACCTCTTAGTTTTAGGGACAAAATACTTAACACCTACAATTTAAGTGAGAAGAGGTATATTTGATGCATAGTTTTTAGCAGAATTCAGAGTGAAGTTGGCTGGTTCCAAGGCAGAAACAGCAGGGTGGATGGGTGCAGTGGAGGAAATCTGCTCAACCCATGGCAGCCAGGAAGCAAAGGGAGGAAGCAGGAGCCAAGGACAAGAACACACCTGTTGGGAGCCGCAGCCCCGAGCCCGGTCGCCTCACTTGGCGGACGTGAGGCCTGTAGTAAAGAGTAAAGCCTGAGGTAGATTACCCCTCCCATCGAGCACGTTAGTTTCCTGCTTACCGCGTAAGCAACCCGCTCAACAATATAGTCTGCCTGGCAACTGATGATGTTAGCCAATCAGCTTGCCTTGCTTACTTTAACATGATTGGACACTGTATCCGTATATATACTGGTGCCACCCCTGGGGGAGAAGAAGAAGCCCGGAAGTAGAAGCCCAGAAGGAGCCGCGGAGAGCGGACCGGTAGAGGCTTCGGAGCGAAGCCCGGAAGGAGCCGCGGGGAGCGGACCAGAGGAGGCTTCGGCTGGGAGCGATCCCAGGGCAGGCTGTACGGAGAAGAAAAATAAAAAGAAAAGGTTGTCCACTACCAGACTTTGTCGTGTGTCCTTCTTGCCGGCCGGGAGCGGACATCGACACACACCCTCCCAGGTCACACACCCAGTGATCCATCTCCAGTCAGCCTCCATCTCCTAAGAGTATATCACAACAGCACATTCAGCTATGAACTCATCAGTGGAAAAATCCACTGCTGAGCATAGCACCATGATTGAGTCACCTTCCAAACACATGAGATTTTAGGGGAACACTTTAGATCTAAACCATAACAAAGCCCATGTGCTGAATGCTTGGCCTCTATTATGGTGGTATGGTGGTACTGTGAGGTGGTGAGACTTTTAAAAAGTAAGTCAAGTGGTCACTGGGGCATGTCCTTAAAGGGGATACTGGGATGTTGGCCTCTTCCTGTCTCTTTCTTTTGCTTCCTGGCTCTTGTGAGGTGAGTACCTTTGTTCCATCAGTGTCTCTCACCATGACATGCTGTTGTGCCAGAGACCCAAAGAAATAAGGTCAAGCCAACCATGGACCACAACCTCCAAAAGCACAAGCCAAAATGAGTCTCTCCTCTCTCTTAAAAGCTGACCTAACTTAGGGATTTGCGATTGTAATGCAAATGGGACTTAAGTAGGTTATTTTAAAAGGCATAAAAAATAAGCTAAGAAAAGTGTATATGAAAATTCCTAGTTAATGTTTCTAAAATGCTCCAATTTTTTGTGCTTCTCTAGTTGTTACTGAACTACTACAGTTACTTTATCAATCCAGGACCATACTTCATCTTTACCCACAACTGTTAATAAAGAAAATACCTTCACTTACACATGCAGCAGTACCATGGTTTATATCTGTGGCTCCCAGACCTCATGTATTTGCATTGTGCATTTGTGATTGGTTCACTCTCAAGAGCTTGGATTGATGATATCAGTGCTACACCCACCTAGGGGTGGAGCCAGCATACAATGTAATGGCAGGAAGAAAGTGTGTCTCTCTCTTTTGACAGTTTCCACCTTACTGTTTGCAGCTGCCATGAACTGTAGCCCCACCTTGCCACCCTGCCTTGTAGCTGAGTATGGTCTGAAACTCCCCAAAATTTAAGAAATAAACTTTTCCTTTCCCAGCTTTGGGCATCAGGTATTTTGTCTCAGCGATGAGTAAAAAGTAACTAAGACAAGCAGAATAACTTGCCCATAGATTAATCTGTAGATTCCTCTCTATTTCCTGCCCTACTTCCATAACTATCATCTTTCCTGTTCTAAGGGTGTTATGAGCTCCTTCTCAGCTCAGAGATGCCCGGGGGGAGGAGAATCCAGACATTGCATGAGGTCAGGCTGTCCTACCGCTCTAGTGCACAAGTGTGAGCTTGCTGGGAAAACACTGTGAGTTTTTCTAACATTTAAGAAGAGAGGAGTTCTGAGTATTTTAAGAGGAGCTTTAAAGGTAACCCCAAGACGCATGCAGGCAGGCAGAGATCTGAGAATCCCACGGAGGGCGAGCTAAGACGTGACCCAAAAGGATCATCAGACATCTAGATAGGAAGGTAGCCTGTAGGTCAGGGGACTTCTGGGAAGTCATCAGCATGACTCACTACATCCAGATCTCTCTTCTGTTTGATGTTAAAGCCTGTGGTTAACAGCACAACCCTGGAGAAGACAGAGTTCTGGGTGGAACTCACTGGAGCTTTTCCTTTAGGGGGCAGTAGGCTAAGGCAATGGTGATGGGAAAGAAGTAGGCATCAAGAATAGACAAATTATTTTATAAAAACCCTCAATGCAAAGCTCCTGCTATGGAAGCGATCTTCTGCAGACATTCATAGCCATCCTGTGCACAACAGTGAACACCAGGCTACAAAATGGACCAGTTCTGTGGTCCCTGCCATCCCCTAGGTCACAAATGATGGCTATTTTCTGGTAGGCTGAGTGACGTTAAAATCTCCCTATAACAAGTACCTCTTGCGCTGATTTCTGAAATGAATAAAATCGGACAAAACTTCCTTATTTTGTGTCTGGAAGCAGAAAGATAGCTGAAGATAACCATGTTAAATATGTCTAGAAATTGGCAAACTGTAGAATTCTGTTCTGTGTTTCTTACCTGCAGTTGAACTTCTAGGTGGAAAATGGACAAGCACATAGAGTTGGGGAAAACACTCCCACCTTAGTTTGCTAAGCTCCCTGTATATCCCTTTTCTTTGTGGCCTCAGGGATATACGGCAAGTCTGGAAAGCCTTCTATAAATGCACCTTGACAGATTTTGGCAGGAAGTACAACTCTAAAACAAGGAACTGATGGGGAGCCGGGATGGTTGTCCTACCAGAATACCCGCTCAAAATCTCCTGAAAGAAAGACATTCCATCATTGCTCTGGTGTGGGATTCTCTCCTCTGTATTGATAAGACACTCAGCCTCCCACCAAGTTGCACAGACAGCCTCAAGAGCTCACATTACAAAACCACCTCCAGACTCTAGGTTGTCCTTATGGAACCCAATATGCTATTATTTCACTCTATTACACTATCAAAGATGAGCCCGGCAGAGGGGAGAGTTTGGTGGCTCAGCCCACAAAAGCATGTCTGTTTATCAGGAAGCAAACAGGAAGAGATCCAAGCCCATGAATCTACAGTCCACAGTGTGCAGGGCTGGCCTCCTGCCTGGGATGCTGAGCTATGACTGACAAATGCCCAGCACTCTCTGTCATCAGATCTCAGGATGTCAGCAAAGGACAGCCAGCCAAGGCTGCCCTGTGGGAGTCTGTGCTTGTAAAATGTGCCAAAGACAGGATCAAAGAGCCCATGAATATATTTTGCTTTCAACAAGTCACTTAGCCTTGTACTGGTGAAGGCCTCTTGGGTGACATACACAATGTACTTTAAACCAAATTATAAAAGAATGACATAATGTTCTTGGCCTAGGTACAGTTTCCAAGTTTTGTTACTAGTGACAACAAAACAAAACCAAGAATGGTCAGTACTTTAGTTGGGGAAACATCTGTGGTCTCTTGATTTCAAAAGTTCACATAACTATTTTCCAGGAAACACAGCATTCATGAGCAAGAAAACTTTTTTAAAAATACAGGTGGGAGATACAGAACAAAACTGTCAAGTTTTCCAGTCTAGGGAGAACAAGATCACTTTAATATATTTAACATAGTATCTTCAACCATCCTTCTGTTTCCAGACCCAATACAAGGAAGTTTTGTCTGATTTTGTTTTGGACAACTACTATGAGAGGTATTGGTATAGGCCGATTTTAAAAATAGCCCCATTTGTTGGCATTCTGAACTCCCTAGTTTATGAATACACGGTGATATTTTCCTATTGTTTCTGTTGTACTGTGTCGCACCCTGTGTGTTAGAATAGGTGATTACCTGAGTGGGCTGAGTCAGCTGCATGAGCCCTTAGACAACAATCTTTGGTAGGTGGTAGAGGAAGAAATGGAAAGGGTTTATAGCCCTGGGAAGAGGTGCTTCTCTGTTGGTATCGTAAAGCTTGTAAGAAGCTATGTGAAAGGAATCCAGCATCCTTGAGGCATTGAATGGCCCTAGACTGACAGCCAATGAGGAACTGGGGGTTAAAATCACAAGGTAATAGATTCTACCAATGATGTACATAAAGACTTGTCTAGATGCATTCTGATAAGAATCCGCCCAGCCAACACCTTCTGTATTCCCTTGTGAGAATTTAAACAGAGTAGCCAGGTGACACTTCTGACCCAGTGATCCCCTGTGACCCATTTAGTGGGTGTCGTTTAAAGCTATCCTCTGAGTTGATTTTCTGTGCAGCAATGGGATACTAATAAATGGGGAGAACAAGACGCAGGAAATCACTTCCTTGTTCAGTTTCTTTTTTATTTTTAATTTAGAGAAAAATAAAACACAATCGAAAATGGGCAGAAATAGTACATACTTTCAAAGAAAAGAAATAAACAGTAATAAATCACTAGTTGATGTATACATATTGTCCCCCCACAAATAATTGTTCAAGATACAAAAGTGGAACATATAAATGGGAATTCAACCGGGGAGACTGCAAACCATTCTGTTCAACTATCCAACAAAAACTATACACTTAGACATGTATGCATTTATCCATATCTTCATTTATGTTGAGACCTAACAAAACTTATTAGATTAAAATACTTCTGAACAAAGATTAATAATATTGCTCGATTTCACATCATAACACTCTGGAATCAGCAGTGGGTACTGCAGTACCTCTTTCTTTCCTTTAAAGTATTTGTTCATTTCATCATGTGTCATAAGATCAGTTCTTATAAACTGTTTATAGGTTTTATACAAGCATGAGTCTTAACATGTATTTCTATCCTTTCTATATTAGAGGGAGAAACAGAACAAAGCAGGACAGAACTAAACATATTCCTATAGACACATAACACTAAAAAAACATATAAAACTGCTGTATAAGGAGTTCTACCATGGTTACTGTGCTGTTTCTTATTATCATCAACCGAATTGGCTATATCATCAGATAAAGTATAATTGAACATATCAGTGCATAACAGAATTAACAGAAATACCACTTTGTAGATAGTGTAGAACTACAAAAACAGGTAGTGATCAAATCAGAATGATATTGTGGTGAATCATTGTCATTTTCAGTATAGTTGTCTATACTCCTCAACTTGATACTATCAACCTAACAGTTTTGATTAAAATCTGTCAATAATATGCAGTATTCAAACAAGTCAGATTTAACTAAGATCAGTCATGATACAATAGTATAAGTCATACAGGGATCCTAATTGAGTTAATAGGAAATTAAAGATGACCACTGTGCTATGTCCTGATATCTTTGGGACAGCTGTCTGCACTTATACAGTTTCTTTAGCAAACTGGCTTTTCTCTTTTTCCTTATTCGAACAAGAAAGTTACTTGAAGCTACTGTAGTGTACAAGAAAGCTACTGTAGTGTAGCACATTTGCTATAATCAAGCATATGGGCCAGGTTCAATTCACCGTCTGTTTACACAAATAAAGTTTTATCAGAACACAGCTGTGTCTGTTCAGTGGCATGCTTTCCCTTTAGAATGGCAGAGTTGAGTTCCAGCCCAGAGACCACACAGTTCACAAGGATGAAAGTAGTTCCTCCATGGCTTTTTACATAGAAACTATCTTGATCCTGCTCTATACCTTAGAAAGGACCAGGTTTCTTAGAGCATACCATGCTGGCTAACATGGACAACTGGACCAAACTGTGTTTTTATCACCTCCCATGTGACACGTAACACTCTTAGACTCATTTCAGCAATTTGCAATCTTAGGAAAGTGAGGGAGTTTGCCTCCCCCTTCTCACACTGACTTTTCTGGGTTTCTTCTTAGATTCTCTTATTATAAATGGTATGAACCATATGGTCATTGTGTCTTCGAGCCTTTGTTTCCTCTGACCCACTTCATTAACTCAGATGCTCAGCTCTGGGGGAGGGAACTGACTGGGGGAATTAGTGAGTCTTTTAGTGAGTCTTTACAAATGCTGTCTGTAGGAACAGTGGGTGACAGCATTGTCCTTCATGGAGATGCCAATCACAAGGCCAACTCAAAGACAAGTGCAAATGTCATTCTGCCTGGGGTGACATGTTCATTTTTTAGAAACAGCTTGATAGCAACCCATGCTTGAACGCCTAATAAAGACTCCCCGAGTATCCCTGGGTGGGAGCTGCCTCATGTGTGGAAAAAAATGTGGCAGAAATTCCCAAGAGCCTCACCAAGAACTCCAAATTACTAACCCACATCCTTTGCGACAAAATTTCCAATTCTGCAATCACAAGAAAATTAGAGCAAAATTATTGCGCAGAAATAAAAACTTGGTTTGCATGAAGTGATATTCATGTGAGTCCTGCCTAGGGGGTAAATTCATGAATTCTTGCTCTTTTACTTCAAAAAGGGGTAAGAGATTAAGTAGGTATATCTCTTGTGGAGTCTTCCCCAAAAGGCATATCCTCAGTCTAGTTATGAGACAGACATCAAAAAATTGGAATTAATTCTATAAAATACCTGAGCAGTCATTCTCAAAAGTACCAAAGTAAAGGAAAATTAGGCAAATCTAAGAAATTGACTATGTCAAGAGGAGTCTAAGGAGACAGGATGCTTAACTATATTGTGCTACCTTGAACTAGAAAAGGCACACGAGGTAAAAAGGAAACATGAAAAAGCACAAAATATGAAAGTTTAGACATCAGTTAACAGAAGCATTTTAAACTGGTTTATTCATGGTGGCAAAAGCACTAAGTTGGTGTAAGATAACACAAAGAATGCAAGCACAATATGAGATACAAAGATAAAAGGTTTTCTCTTTTATGATTGGTCAATCTAAAACTCTCCTACAATAAAGAGCTTATTTAAAAATAAGTATTGTGAGTGTGTATGTGTGTGTGTGTGAGAGAGAGAGACAGACAGACAGTCACAGACAGAAATAGAGAGAGATACAGAGATAGAGACATGCAGAGAGAGACAGACTGAAAGAATGCAAATTTATGGAAAATCTTACAGGATATGTAACAAATGGGTTGTAACAAATGGGATGTTGTTTACTTTTGGAAAGGAAAATAGTACCAGGGCTAGAAAAAATGGAGTGTGAGAAGAGATTCATCCATTTTACTCGGTGAAATTCTCTGGTGTTTAGATAGTTTATAGTGGCGAAGTGATTATAAATTTTATAGCTAACAAAACATCAGTGCTCTTATTATGGTCTTGTCACCCATTTGTGCTGAACTTGTTTATAATTTTGACACGAGATACTCTGAATTACATTTGTAATCTCATCTACAAATCTAAAGAGATCTTAAAATGTAAGATCATGATATACTTTGAAGTCCCTATCTTTCAAAATTCTTGCTTTATTTTCTCACAGTGAATATTACTAAAGAAGGGAAGACCGTTTTTTTAAAGTGGCAGACAATTTTAAACAAGAAAATGATGATTTAGGGAATAATGTATTGGGTTTCTGCCAGTTCTGTTTTCACGGAAGTGGACAGAGAAAAGTTCTACCATCATTTATCCTTTGATGACTTAAGGTCTTATCTGATAAGTACGTGCCAAAATAAGACTAAGTCAAATCATTCTAAACATTTAGCTCTCCGGTCAAATTCAAATAGCGTGCGTATTTATTTCCCCCAAACTCTGATGCTTCAGATAGTTGTGAGAAATGATTAAAGACAAGGAAGAAATTTGGGGGCAAATCTTGTATTTGGAAGTTAAGTATACTGTACTTCACTGCTTTTCTTTTCTGTTTTTGTTGTTTGGTTTTGTTTTTGCTGTGACCAAATACCTGAGGAGCAAAGGTTTGTTTTGGCTCTTGATTTCAAAGGGCTCAGTCCATAGTTGGCCAGCTCCACCGATGTAGGATCAAGACAAGGCACAAACCTCATTGAAGAAGGGCATAGTGGAGAAAAATGGAGCCAGGAAACAGCAAAGGTGAGAAAGAACCGGTGAAGTATCGTCTAAAGATAAGACATAGCCCAGAAGGTCATGCTCATGATCCTCTCCCTTCATCTACAGCCAAATCAACTAGAAATTCTGCAGAACTAATTGGTCATCACTGAGGAGGTTTACACTCTCCTGATCCAATGACTTTATGTAAGCCCACCAGGGACATTTTAGATCTGAATGATAACAATTACTTCAGGGAAGAATCTTCTAGTTTAGACTGGCATTAAGCTAGTGGAATAAAATCCTAAGAGATTATAGTTCTATTAATGGTTGTAGTAGGTGGATGTTAATTAAGGGCCAGTAAAATTTTAGTCTGTTAACATTGCTCCACTATACGTACTGTAATTAAAGCAATGATTTAAAACACCAAATATGAAAAAAAGTGGAGCATAAAGCAGCAATCATAGTTGCAAACTGAAATCGTAATATTTGGTCTATTGGGGCAAATAAAATAATTCCAATAGTTTCTTTTTCTTTAATGTGACTAACTTTTGAAATCACCTAGGTACCTAAAATTTAGGCTTATGTCACAGTTCTACTATAGAAAGATGACTCAGAAGAACCACTGAAAATTTCCAAGTATCATTTCTAGCATTGTTTCAAGCTTTCATAGAAAACATTCCAACACTACCTAGGGAATTTATTAGGAGCCTAGTTCTTCCTATGTAAATGTCAGAATTCTAAGCAAAATCATGTAAATTATCCTAAACATTCCAGCATGTTAATATGAAGTTTGGGCAAGAAAAAAAATCACTGTTCATTTAAAATAATGATAGTGTTTGAGAGAGAGAGAGAGAGAGAGAGAGAGAGAGAGAGAGAGAATTGTTTCCACTCCAGTTTCTCTAAAAGTCTCCATCTGTGGTAGTGATAACTTTGGGATCTGCCTGGGGAATTGGTGAAGGACACTTCCAAATAGGTTTGGGAGGTCATAGACTTAGGGTTCCTGGTCCCTTCCTCTCTGGCCAGGTTTGCCTGCTCTACTTCCTGGCCTCCATGAGCTAAGCAGTTTTGCTCCATAATATCCTTCCACCATGATGTTTCTGCCTTAGAGTAGATTAGTGCTCTCCTCCTTTAAATCATGGGTTTTGCTTATCACATTCATCATGTTTACAGCTGCTGGGAAGAATATGCATGCCTTCTTCTTCAAGGGAGTGTCCATCATGAATCCAAAAGTTCAACATCTAAAATGCTCCAAGATAGGAAATTTATTGTGCATGCACATAATTTCCCTTGTAAATACTTTTACAGCTGACGTCAGGTCCTAGTCAAAAGGATGGAACACTAAAATAGCGCATAAAATTCCTTTCAGGCTATGTATATAAAGTACATGATGCCAGTGAATTTCTGTTTAGATTTCTGTCCCCTCCTCCACATACCTCATTACATATCTGCAGTTTTCTAACTTCTGAAAAACTCCAAATAGAAACACTTCTGGTTGAGGCACTTGGGATAAATGATGTATTCAGCCTATATCAAAAAGGGTATCAGCTTGCCTTGAAAAATACTTGAGTTTCTTAATCAAAACTATAATCCAAGGCAGTCTATGAGTCTTCCCAAAAATGTATACAGCATAGGTCTCACAAGCCAGGAACCTTCTCAATCTTGGGGTATGCAACAGGCAGAAGCAAGTGTAGCCAGTGACAGAAGAACCTTTCTGAAGTTTCAGGACCCTCTACAAAACTGTAGTACAGGCTGGGCATAGTGGAACACAGTTGTAATCCCAGCATTTGTGAAGTTGAGGCAGGAGGATCGCTATGAGTCCGTGGTCAGCTTGGGCTACACAGTGAGTTCAGTGTCATCCTGAGCTGCATAGCAAGACTCTGTCTCACTCCCCACAACCCCAAATACTGGGTACAGCTGCATGAGCATTGATAATCTGCATTAACCCCTTACCTGTAAATGCATGACCTGCTTCCTCAATGAGTGTGATCCCTCAGGCATTCCCAGGAGATCCTCTCACGCTCCAATGCCTCCAGGCATTAAAAGTCTAGAGAAGATATAAACAAGATTTCATAGGAGGCTGCTTATAAACATACATTCTTCATAAGAAAAAAGGCAGAACTAGGGCAAGTATGAGGCATTTCGTGTCATCAATAGTAACAGAAGCTTATTTTATCTACAGAGGAACTTTGCCATTTCTTCAGATGAACTCATGATGTAGACAGCTTTCCACAAGACTCAGGCATACTGCCTTTCTGCTAATTGCAAGGAAGTTAGCTATTCCCTCCTCCAATATTTACTCACTATGACAAACAATGAGAAAAATGTTGTTAGGATGAAGAGATTGCTTTTGGCAGAATTAATGGCTTGCCTGTCTTCTGTGTGTTTTGACAGTATGTTCTCATTTTTATCATGGTTCAGATGATCTAGTAAGCGGTAACATCACAGTAAGTTCTTATTTTGGAAATACCTATATAAATATAGTGTGGTGGAATGGATTTTTTCCCCTGGGGGTATTTTTTCCCCTGTGAATTGTGGACAGATAGAAGCTGATTTCTACTCTTATTGTAATGCTTTATCAAATGAAACACAGCATTAGCTTCAACTGACTGACCTCAAGCTATGCCTGAGCATCTTAATTGCAGAGAGATGAATACCTGATAAAAGACGGGGTAAGAGATTACTTTGAAAAATACCAAGGAATTCACCACACAATAAACCTAATTCTGAATTTGGCACTGACATCGTTACACCATACTCCATAGACAGAGGTCATATTTCACTGCTGATATTATGTATCCCTGAGATGGGTCATGTTTTCCATTCTTGCTATTTTCATCTGAAGTACACAGGCACTTTGTCAGACAAAGCCACTCTACAGACCAAAGTAGCCACATTACTTCATGGGTCAAATGTTCAATTACTGAATTCCAACATGCCTGAAACCACAATAAACAATATTCTTGAAAATTTCATGAAGCAACACTGTTATGGCTTAGAATGGATCTAAAATGTTCCCCTAAAATCCTGTGTGATAAGATGTGGAGCTTTTGGAATGCGGTGAGATCATGAGGGTGCTAACTTCATTAGTGGGTGGACCGATGGATGAGAGCGTAACTTCAAGGCATTGTTGAGTGTCAAGGAAACTTAGCAGGTAGGGTCAAGTGGAAGGCAGCAAGTCATGGAGGAGGAGTATACTTAGAAACCACATCCTGGACCCTTTTATTATGGCACATTTTAACTTTTTCCTGGCTGCCAGGATAGCAGTCCTTTTCCACCATCTCCTCCTACCATCATGTTTCTGCCTCATCAGAAGCTAAGAAAAAATGGATCCAGCTAAACAAAGCCTGAAACCATGAGAAAAGAAAAACCTTTTCTCCTCCAAGTTGTTTCTCCTGGACATTCAGCCACACTGATGAAACCTTTAATAACTCATTTTACCTGAAAATCTATTACACATATGGATAGAATGGATTCACTTTCATTCTTCATTATTCCCTTTCAAGGGTCCTGAGATCTTGAGGTTTGGGAGACATCATGAGTTTAGGAAAGTACAATTCCCAGATGGAAAGATTCCACGGAGCTTCTTGAAGGTTGCAGGACTTGTGTCTAAATATACAGCCACCATTCAAAGCCTTATGCAGTCATAGGTGGTTTTTCCACTGATGCCTGAATCTAAAGTGTGTGATTAATTTTTGGTGCAGTACAAGGTGTCAGGGTGCTGGGATTAAGAGTGGGTAATTAACAAATCAGTCCACTGATTGGTTTGGCACTGCCCTAATCTCAGTAGGCTCCATATAATACAAGGGACAGAAAGAGGCTCATCTTGTCTCTAGCTTGGTTTGCTACCTTCTGCTCACCATGAACTGTTTTTCCACTGTAATGCCTGTTTATCTGCGGTTACCCACATCCAGCCGACTATGGACTGAACCTCTACAAACTGTGAGCTAAATATATCTTTCTTCCTTTAACTTTAGGCATTCAGTATTTTGTCTCAACAAAAGAAAAGTCACCAAGGAAGTACAAAAACTTCAAATGAACATGCAAAAGACCAGTATTCCAAAGGGACAGAATGTCATTTGCAATACCATTCAATCCCTTGCTTTACCCATCTGTTTACTTAGAAATCAGTTCTCAGAGTTATGGGTAAACTCCTAGTGTAATCAACCCAGGTCCCACTCGTGGAAAGTCACAGCACTAACTTTCTTGATCCAATTTCTGTCTCAAACAAATAACTGTGAAATTCTATGGTCTGTGACTGGTCTATGACTCTCTTATTCCTTGTCTGCCTGGGCCCTTCCAATTCTCAACTCTTACCATAGGCTCCTGCCACTTGGAGCTCTTCACTCTGCATTGTGTGGGTCTCAGCCTGCTACCCAGGTGGCAAGAATTAGGTGCAACTCTCTGTTTCCATCTCTTTTTTTCTTACATGAATGCTTTGCTTCTGTGCCTACTTCCATTCTCCTGAAGAGTGCAGAACGTACTTGATCGCTGTTCTGTCACCCTTGCAGGGAAATATGTGCAATTTAACTCACCAGGAAAATCAATATAGATCCTCTGTTACAAAACAGAGGATGCTGTGGAGGTTGGTAAGATGATCTTGTCTTTGTACTCCTTCAAAAGAATCATGGATGGACACTGGATTTCCTCTGCTAATTCCTTGTAGGATTTTTGTATACCTTCTCTTGTAGCTACATACACTGCTCATCACATTAGTTATTTATTAGGAACCCCTGTTTTCACTTTTTTGGCCTCTTTGTAGTCAATCTTGAGACATGCACTGCAATATAAGATGCTTTATCAATGTACACAGTAATGATTTATCTAAGTGCAAGTAATAATGTTATGCTATGATGAAGGTATTACATAGCCTTATAAACTCAAAAGAATTCTGAAAGGTTTTGGGCAAGACAGGTGTAAGGTTCCCTAAAGAAGGAAAAGAATTCTTAAGTCCAAGCAATTGAGGCCATTAGGCATTTTCATCCTAAACATTAATGAATTTCAATAAAGTAAATATCTTCTAATACTTCACAATAATTAATGATGCAAATATACTAAAATATCCTCCATGGTAACAACTCATGAGCACTGTCCTTAAATGTTACTTAATATTTTAAGGACAGTATTAATGATTATTCATCAACTACATTCCCAAAGAAACCCAAATATCCACGCTGTTGTCTCCCTCCACTTTCTGCACTGCCAGAGACATAAAACTCATGTACAAAATCATGTTGTTTATGGCTCTATGAATTTTAATAAAAGATGTAGCAAATCCTGCTGTAAAGAAACTTTTATTATTGTAATTATATTTTTTTAAGGGAGAAAGACAATATTGCAATAGGGGGTCCATGAAGGAAGCAAGTATCTGTCTCCAAGGGAAGCAGTTTAATGGATATTCTTTGTCTGCAATCACTGGCTTCCTTGCTATCCCCTTGACTTCCCCAGGGCACCCTTTTGTCTCTGGGTTGGGCTGTAGCAGCTGTGTCCCAGGGGCCCTGAACTTTAGAGAGAGAACAGATTTTCAAGCTCAGGCATGAGTGTAATCTGAGTAAGGAAGGGCATGCATCACAGATTTCAATCAGGAAGAGCAGGGCTAGCTCTGGGCTGGTTGACCAAAAGTCAAGCCTGTCTCCAACTACCACAGTGTGCCACCCAAATGTCATTCTCTCCATGATCCAGACATGTAAAAGGTCCACAAGAGAAGTTTGGGTTCACTGTCTTGAAAGAAATTGCTTCAGAATTGCCAGGAGACCCACACAAGCCAATGACACTGCCGGACTTCCTGAAGTTTCCTAAAAAATGTTTCTTATTTCCTTAGGCAAACACACAGCAGAACAACCCTTCTCCTGAAAGTCTCTATGTTTGTATGCAGACCTGCATTTTATTTTATCATTCACTGTGCTGGCATTGAACCAAGGCCTTGTGTGTGCCAGGCAAGTGATGTATTTCTGAGGCACACCCTTGGACCTCTGTGTTAAGACCTTTAAACCCTTTTTACTGTCTGGTCCTCCAAGTGTTAAACAAATGATTGCATTCTCAGAATTTCATAAGGATATGTTAATATTTTAAGACATTTTCCAACTAAAAATATGAGCTTTGTTTGAGTCCCACAAGATACCAACACTATATGCATGGAAATCACAAAATTATATTTTTATTTCAAGCACATTCAGATATGCCAGCGTCTTTCTTTCTTCATTACTATGCTTTGAGGAGAAGGTGCTATATAACCATGTGAAACCTTAAGATAACTGAATTCATAAATTGCAGCCGTCAAGCTTCTTCAATTCAGCTGAACACCTCTCTCAAATATGAGCCCTACAGAAGGTTGAATTAGAATTAAGAAAGCTTTTCTTTGCTTTCTTTGTTCATAACATTTTCCATTATTGAGGTATTTAAAAGTTTGCTCCTAGGTCAAGGAAATGTTGATAACAATCTTCATTTCAAATTTAAATGTTTAGTTTTACACTATCAAAGGCCAATTTAAAACATAACTGTCTCCAACTGCAATTAGACACTTTGAGCTTTTCTTCACAAATGAAATTGCCGTTTACCTTGCTTTTCCCCAACACCTCCCTAACATTCTTGTTAATCCTCCCACTTTGAGTAAATGGTAAGAACAGGAACTACTGATTTTTTTGTATATGTAACACTGAGGTCATTTCATCTACTTCTAGATACAGGTACTTTTCTTTTCAACTTTGTTCTCTCTGGACACTGGGCTTCCTTAAGTTATTGTAAGACAAATACAGGGTGAGATTGGTCATGGATGGTCAAATGTGTGTCTCCACATCTATTGTGCACCATGCCAACCATCAGCCCAAAGATTTACAATACTGTTCCAGTCCATTACTATGGGTATCAGTTTCAAAGTCCTCACTTTGGTGTTTGGAATACTCCTCTAGGTACACACACACACACACACACACACACACACACACACACTCCCTACTGGCAAATGAGCAGCCCATAAGCAGAGCTTTTAAGAGGTTGAGGGTGTTTGATAAACACTACATGAGAGCACCCAATTAAAATTGATCAATT